TGACACTATAAAGCATCTAGTTCAGATCCAGTTACAAAAATACACCTACATAGTCTTACTGAATTGTATAAACATCATCCTATGGGCTAAGTCTGTTTGATGGGAGCCAAGTCCAAGTTTGTGCTGTAGTTGAGTGTTCAAGGTGTTAGACTTTTGAACCTGGACCGCCCTCCACCTTTCTCACTTTGTGTGGCTGGGTATTTTCTCTAATATCCTCATAAATGTACACGAATTTCTACCTAATAAATGATTTAATTAATTACCAACATAACGTTAAATATTACGTAACTTATTTTAAATATTCTTTTCAAAATCGTTTAGTATCTGTATCTAAATTATTGCATATTAACCTTGGTTAGATTATTTACTTTAGTACCTCATTGCATCAATTTATGGCGTTTAATTATATTTAAAATCCCCTATTTATAAAAGCAATATTTAAAAAGGGCATAATTTGTTTTAAGAAAATCTATTTGCTTGAATTTCAATTCATTCATAAAACTTTGTCTTGTTTCATACGCATAGTTCTCTTTATTATCTTGAAGCGAGCAAACACAAAGATTGATGCAGGATACTATGAATTCACTTTGTTTCGCTGGATTCTAGTCAACTGGTTATAACCCAAAATATTTTAAAATCAAAATTATCATTCGAATTGATATCGTTACAAATACGAAAGTGAGTATAAATGAGTACGTGTATCATAATGTAACGAAGATTCCAATGAGGTGAATAAGTTCAAAAAATATGTTACCGGCATAAAGTTATGATAGGGAATGTTCCAGGATATCGAACTGTTGACCAGAAACCATAGAGTTACCATACTTTAGATAGTTATGTAATGAAGTAACTGAGAACAGATGAATAGTAATCAAGAATGATATGAGTTGAAATCAGTCAAATCAATCAATATCATTATATTGTTTTTCCAAATCCAGTTATGTGTGCATTCTGTAGCTGCTAATAAACGACTTCGATTTACGTACGTATTTCGGTTTTTATCAATCCTCCAATTCATCAGTTATTTAACTCAGGTTCACTGAAGTTTTGGTTATCATAAACTTTCCCCATTCTTCGATATAATTTCTTGTCCTCTTCATGTTTCACTGACACAATGGACATCATATTTAATGTGACTGATCTTACGTTAGAAGACTACAGAATTAACTTGTTGGTGACTTTATGCAAAAATGATAGTTTGGTTGACATAATTTCTGTTAATTATTAATGTTTATGAATCAGTTTGAATTATCATATTTCCAGATATTGTCTTTTTCGCAATCCAGTTTATCCAGATGCCAAAAATCTTGAACAAACGACAATATTTTGTCATCATTCTACTGGTTGCAATTTTTTTACCTGTAAATTAACACTCTGACATCTTTGAACTTGGTCTTTAGTAAGAATTAATTGTGTGGAAGTTAACATGAAGTTTCGAATTAGATAAGAAACTTTGTCACATTTCAGATTTTCAATTCAAAATATCTGATCCACTATTGCTTTTGTGTGTGTGCGTATGTGGATAGAAACAAGTAATCACATTTGATTAGTACAATATTATAGATTGTCCTAATACTTAAGTACCTGGCTTTTGTTTCTTTAGCAATGTTTATTATATTCTACCTCACAGGTTGCCGAATTCTCTTGTGTGTATCATTTGAATGATGACTTTATGACTAGAGAACTCCCATGTTCAATCCGTTGGTGTCAGGTTCAAACGTCAGTTTGAACAACCGATTAGTATCATTTGGCATCACATCAACTGTATGTGACTTGGTAAATTAGTTACACTATTAATTATTGTTATTAGTTAAACAGCCATGTTAGTTTTATGTATTTAAAGATTTTATATCATTTAGTATTTCAGTTAATTATTTTAATAAATCATATACATTTATTCTCTACAAAAATATTTTGAATTCTAATAATAATCTATGAAAGTTAACTTTAATTACTTGTTATAATGAATTTCTTGATTTCTCTATGCATATTTTCCTGTAGAATATAACTTTCATTGATTGTAATATTTTTTCTCGGTTCATATTCATTCACGTTGCACTAAGATGTTTTATTTAAACGATTTACATTTTCTTGTATAAACTATTTCTCTTTAATTTTTATTTCTCACATTATTGTGAATTGTGTTACATCAAATTTCAGTAGTAAATTTTTTCCTGGCACTTATAACAAAAAGAGAATTTTTTTGATCGACATATCTTTTCGACCATTTAGATTAATGAAAAGATTTTTCTCTCAGAAACAATTCTAATATCATTCCTTTATAAAAAATTTCACTAATGTTAGCGTGATCATTTCGGTCAACAACAATGTGGATACTGTAATAACAGATTCATATTGTAATTATCGGTAATACTTTCACAAACTCCAAGTAATGTTTTAAGCAGAAATCAACACTTTATAAAACCTGTTGTCCGAAAAAACCTATCGGTAGCATTTCATAGGACTGATTGTGGATTCATTTTAGGAGTGAAATCCGAGAGATTTTAAAATCATTGATTGCGGTTTTTTGTTTAAGAGATCTCTACAGTAAGTGAGGAAAATATGTCATTAATCGAAGTGGACAAAACCAGATGACTATTTTTTTGGTTATATCTTCCAAAATGGAATAGGTTATTATTGCACTTCACATAACAGCTTGTTGATAGAGATGTTAGTAAGTATTAATGATGAAAGATGATCATCAGTATTATATTGTGAATTACTTAATAACAACTCCATGGTGTATTAACTTAAGTGTGTTTCATATATGAGTATTTGTATGATATGTTTTCTGTACATCAGTGTATCAGTGTGCTATATATATATATATATATATATATATATATATATATATATATATATATATACCACTTCGAGTATTTATGAAAGCAGTTCATTTCTTCATTATTTTAATTTGTTTGCTATCTCATGCATTTTATAGACTTCATCCGGAGTAGGTCGAGGAAGTCGCGTTAATTCCAAGAAGAATTTAGCATCCAGCACAATACCGTCTGTATCTTCCTCTGAACCGTTTTCTCCTAGTCAAAGACCGATTAACCAACCATCAAAGAAACTCCAGTCGTGGAATACCGGGTCCTCTGCAAATGTAAATTTCAATTCCACTATGATATTACCTACTCAGTCGATGGGGATTCCCATGGCAAATTCTGGATTTATTGGTAGTATGGATAGTCGAGAATCTCCGGTTGCTTTTGCCACACAGTTAAATAATGGTAGTATGAGGCCTAATTCAGGTCCTCCAGTTAATAATAATTTAAGCATATCTACAACTGGAATGGCGTATAATGAATCATCAAACAGTTTAGATGCTCAATCCAATCACAATATGCGTTTACCAGTTTCTCCTCGGCAGTCCTATTGTTCCAGTCAAACGCCTATGCAACAGCAACAATATTCAGTTCCTAATACATCAAGTAACTGTACGTCGTATCCTTCGGGTCATGGCAATAATTCATTTTACAATCAAACTAATCAGCATGTTTCTAATATAAATATGAATACACCACAACAAACACTTACAACGAACAACAGTCAAATGTGTTATCCGAATAATAGTGTGTCACTGAATAATAGTAATAATAATGCTCAGCATACTCCACCAAATGTGCATTATCAGTCACATACAATGCAACCTAATTCACATATACAAACTATTTCATCTCCAATGACTTCAAATTGTAATCGAATTTCTGCACAATCGAACTCTAATTCTCAAAATTATCTTCCACCTGCTTCTCTACCGCCACCTCCCAGTAGTAATAGTAGTATTGCTACCACTACTACGACTACTGCAGTTGGTTCTGCGTCGTATACGTGTAAGTTTTTATAGTTAGATATGAGGATTGTTACAATTGATTGATTCACTTTGGCGAATAGTGATTTCCTTACTCAAAATTAATTATAGTAAATAGTTATCATTTGACTAGTTAGTAATTGTGTATTTTTATTTTATGTATCGATTTAGAGAAAAAGAACTATTTATTTAAACGATAGCTGTAAACTGTTTTGATCACCTCCTATAATCGAGCTTTCCTAATAACTGGAAATCAATGTTATCTTGTCTTTATACTTTTTATGAAGGATTTATTGTTACCATTGTTTGTCTTTTGGCGAAATTACTAAAGTACATACAACTTATTTATTTTGTGTTATCTGTATGCAAAACCATTCTTTGGTTTTGTGAATGAAATTCGTGGTCAGTAACATTGCATAATATAGTAGCCATATAAATATGACGAATAACTTGGTTGCATATTGTATTCATAACTAAACGAAAAAAACAACTTTTTAATTAGTTCAAAGAAGAAATGACTCTGGAAAAATAAATGTTTCGAAGGAGGAAAAGGGATTAGATGTATGTGCTTTTGTGAATGATCTTAAACGATGTTAGCTCTCCGATTTTTTCCATTTTGACAATCATCTCTAACAATAGTACAATTACGTGTTAGATTTACTGTTATCGTAAACAAGTTAGGTTGTCGAATTAATATACGTTTCATATACTAATTTTGAATGTCCAGCCCCATTGGTTTTTAATTATTCTGCGCACTAATCTTCATAATTTGTAGGGCTATAAATATGTCTCACTTATTGATATTTTCGCTGTCAATAAGAAAACAATTAATCAGGTTGTTTCACACATGTACGATTTGGTGCGTGTTTGGTAATATTATGGTGTGAGTATTAGTAACTTGCTCATCAGATCACCGTTGGTATATATTTAATATATAGGTGTTCATTCATTACAATTTCGAGTCACTTAGACTGCTAACTTGATCGGTAGAATTTATTCAGCATTAAGGATAAAAAGCATGACATTAGTCACTATCTGTTGATAAGTCACCTGTAATTATCTTATTCCTTTAGCATTTGTGTTGACGTCCAAGACTGAGCACATGAGTAATAGAAGTTCAGAACATCAGTTCCTTGAAGATTTCCATGCTTGTGTGCAGGAAATTCAAGTTCGAGATATCCTGGTAACTAATTCCAACCACATGTATATACTTTTTGTAACGTTTGCTAATCTGACCCATTTTCGTCACCCTCATGATGTCAGTGTATCTAAAAAAGGTCAAGTATATAAAACGTCAATGAAAGCAGTTCTGCTTCATGCTTATAAAAAATCTCACTCCTCTAAATTAAAGATATTCGCAAACTGACTTAGTCCGATCGCCACTGCAATCCCGAGGTTTTTTAGTGAGTTTGCTTGAAGTGAAACATTGCTTTTGATAGTATGGACATGTTTGATACAGTTCTCCCATGTGTCTTTCACATTGGATGCTTTTATTGGATAGAAAAGGTGAGATAGTCAGTAACTTTAGGTTGTGGAATGAAGAATAGTTACTTAGGGTTAGTTTTCACTGGTCCTTCACTACTCTTTTATTAGGGTCTCAGATACCCAAACTTCTACCTTGAATGGTTTTCCGACAGGGCATGTAAAGGAAGTCATTGATGATCCTATTATAGTTTTCCATTACGTTTTCCATCAATGTCTGATAAACTCTCTACTTACTTAATGGTTATACTACCCTTTACAGCTTCATATTTCTGGTGTATTTTTAGGTATCTTATTGTATTAGGATTTGTTTTCCTGAATTAATCAATGGAATATATTTTACGAATTGAAAGTTGAATATATGATTTACAGAACCGTATTTTCTTTTATTAGATACTGATCGCTTAGTATGTCCAATCACTAACGGTATGGTATGGGGTCCGACTCAAATACAATTAAATGATATCATGCATCAGTATCTTCCTGAAGGGATATATATACGTCGTTTCGAATTTGATTTGACTGCAAATCATCTAAGTACAATCGTTGGACGTAGTGATTTAGATATTGTAGTCTGTAGTCACCTTTTATCAGAACCATTACAAGTGTGCCATTGGCCACCTGATGCTGTACAAATTCGTTTTAATGACTACCTTTTGCGTCTTGATCGTAGTTCTGTGAACGGTGGTCAACCTGCGCATAAAGTAGCCTGCGTTAAACAACTTTGTCGACCAGGTCGTAATCAACTGGAGATAGCTATACTGGGTCTTGGTGAAGATCCTAATCAACCATCTACCATGGCTAAACGTCGAGCCACCGCTCAAACACTCGAGGTAAGCTGTTTCTTTTATTATGTTTTCATGTATTTGATTTCGATGTACGGAATTGTTATAATTTGTTTAGAAAAACGTAGTATATATATAGTAGATTATTATTATCTATCAGTGTAGAACTGTGTTAAAAAGTTAAATATTATATTGTAAAATTTTGGTTAATAATTGGAATGTTTGATGCTTATGACTGTAAGAAAATACCTTTCTCTTTTTCAGGTTATTTCAGTTTATAGCATGTAAGCTATCTATTAATTATAAGGTTAATCTCTTAAACAGTCTTAGATTGGTAACCTACCTGTTTCTGAACGATTTTACGATTCAGAGTTTAGTTTTGGAATTGTTTACATTTCGTACTCGCAAGTCGTTAGCACTGATTGGACATGCGAAACAGAGCGAAGCTGAAGAAAGATTGAATACGCGGATAATCTTGAACTCAGCTTCACTCTTGTTCTTGGTGTACAGTCTTCTGAGATTTTCCAGCTACCTACGAAATGGTCATTAATGTTTCCCGTTGACTCGAGAGCATTACGACAAGGCTTGTAATACAAGGTTTCAACGCTAGGCACCCATGAGATTAATAGTCTAGTATTATTACTTCTAACTATCTTATCTATGTAGCAGTTGTGGTTGAGTAATTTATATTTAAACCGCTGCAGAAAAAGCTTACTATATATATATATATATATATATATATATATATACTTATCACATATATCACGTATATCATAAACTGGAATTTCCTTTGATTTAAACCAAGAAACCCTTTTTACTCTTAGGCTCATCGGTTCGCAGCCTTTATGGCACATATGCCAGCTCTTAACGTCCTACTTGATGGACTTCAACGACGACGACCTGCTGGCATAAATACTCTTTGTGACATTATTGAAGGTCGTATCGGTACACGGAACTTGAATGAAGATGGAAGTATAACTCGGAATATATCTGGACCTCCTCAAACACCTGTTATTGCTGAATTAAATTTAATATGTCCAGTGTTCCGTACAAGAATGCGTATACCTGGTCGTATTGCCGGTTGTCAACACGTAGAAGCATTTGATATGGAAGCTTTTCTACGTAGAGAAGTTCTTTGGCCTAGGCTGAATTGTCCAATTTGTGGGTAAGTTTGATCCCATCCTCGTAATAAACTGACTTAGTTTTGTTAATTTCTTAAGTGAGTTTTATGTTAATGCCACTAGCTTATGTAGTTCCAACAAGAGACAAAGGTTTTCATTGTTCATACGCTATGAGATTCGGTCACTTACTAGAGACACTTATTTAGTCAGTTTGTTTATAAGGAAGTCTGTCTTGATGCTTTTTCTCCCACAAAAGTTAAGAAAGTGATCTGTTTATTTCTCGGTATAAACACATCATAATATTGAAAATAATAAAGGAAAGATTAGAATATCTTTAAAATTATGTTATGATATCAATCATATCGAATTTGAGTACATTAACATTATACAGGCTCTCTACTCGAACACTACTACTAGACGAGTAAAGCTCATGGCAAACTGTCATTGATCACTTCGAGTGTTGTTCGTCCAGTAATTTGCAAACAAATACGCGCTCGCACTAGGGCATGATGTGAATCTAAACATGTGTCGCAGAACGAGATACAGTCCTCTATCGAACCTCTCCATCGGTGGCTGATGACAGTGTGATCTAGTTGGATCCAATGTTGAGACGACTTTGGGGGTCGTCAGGTCAAAAGATGATTTTCCTTATGCTTAAAATTAGTGTTTGCTAGAAATAGGCGATTATCTGAGCATAGCTGCAGCAGATGGTCGCGATTGTTTTCTGAGCCGCGACACCATAACATCCACCAAGGTGTCTTTCCTGGTCACTTAGTCTACCTACTTGAGCATTGAAGCCACCAGCCATTATAAGTATATCAGAAGGCTTAACTTTTTGGAGTAGGTCCGAAAGCTTTCCGTAAAACTCATCTTTTACATCGTCTGAACTGCAGTCAGTTGGGGGCATAGGGTGATATGACGAAGAGGCAACGACGAGCGTCCCTATCCTTCCGAATCCTTACTGTCCCGTTCAGTCGGACGGCGCACAAGCGACAATCTACTGGGATCCAGTCAAGGAGAGATAGTTCTGTCGTACGACTTAATGCTATACCTACACCAGCGAGACCCCTGGAAGCAGCATCAGGGATACCGGATATACGAAGGGTAAATCAAGTTGCTTCTTTATCTTGACATGGTGAGGTCAAGTGAATGATGCTACTCGGATCCTGTATGCGCGTTTCAGAGACGCAGCACACATCGATGGAACGAGATTCAAAGTCCTAGCTAATGATGCCTGTTGACCTATTTGACGCAATGTCTGTACATTAAATGCTCCAACAAGTAGTTTAGAACGGGGTTTCAAGAGACCAGGAACGACGTTTCGTGAACTCGCATTGTTTGCATTAGCGGTGCTGTGTGATAAATGAATGTGAGAAGAGTTGGTCGTGGAGATAAGAGAGGTATCAGGGGGTGTAGGAAGGATTTGATTTTGACCGATTTGGTCTCGTATGCTTGTACGGGTTTGAGGGCGGTTATCACTTCCCAGCTGCCCACACCGTGGAAGGGTGTTTCTTGAGGAACCTGAAAAGGAAGATAGCTTAGTGTTGGTCTTGGAGACCTGGGTGCGTGACCGCAGAGCCCAAGGGACAACTGCTTGAGGCCGGTCACGCACGGCCTTTTGATGAAAGGTTTTTTGAGTTTTAGCTGAGCTCTTGGGAGCCCTTAGCGGGCACCCCTACTGCTGGAGACGGAAATCCGTGAGGTAGGGTGAGGTGTGACATTTTTAGGGTCGATTTTTTCTAACGCTTCCTTCCTTGTGAGAAGGCGGCAGATGCTGGTTGTCCGAGAGAAACACCTTACTGCATTTATACCCCTCTACAACAAGCAGTACGACTGCGCCCTCAGACCCTGAGTAGCTGCTTTTAGTCTCATCATTCTCCAATCGACCTGCCTAGCATGGTAGAACCTTCAGGAACATATGTTCCAGCCAATATAACTAGGTTGGGTCATCACGATAGGCAAGCCCGACCACCACGTCAAGGTAGCAGCTTCGTTCGGGCTTCTCTCATATTCCAGTCATCTGATTTCCTCTTCATCTTTATCTTTCTCTTTTTAAATCTATTTCACTGGCTTATACTTCTCTAATCATATCTTTGAAGCCTTATCTTTTCCATTACTGCTTATACGTCTACTGTATTGGGATTGACAATTGCATCTCTGCATTAACTTGAACTGATGTATGTACGTGCGAAGTTCTCTGTTATAGCTGACTGGCTGACACACTGATATCGAATCTAATGTATAATTTGTAGTTGTTTACTACACCTGTTGCATAAACACTCATTTATTTCCTGATTTTCTGATAAAACATGTGACATTTTGTAGTTTTAAATATCAGTCTTCGTTATTCAGTCATACCTAATGAGTTCGGGTTTAATGTCTATCCTTTTAATATTTTCAATCTATTTGGCATGAACAATATTAATTGGTTTCGGAAATAATTATCGCTTAAAACTATATGATCATAGTCGAACTTCGTCAAATTTCTATGAACTTTATTTAATGTTTTCCTAAAAATTATCCGCTTGGTTCTAAATTTTGGTGCAAACAGCTGGACTATACATACTAATTATTTAAATTAATTGATCATTATTTGAATATGTATAGCGTTAGTTAAACACTTTCATTTCATTGATAAAGATAAGTTGATTTATCTTTATTATATGTGTTGAAACATTATTTATAAAGACAAGGACAGTACAATAACTTGCTTTTAGAATCATAATAACTGACACGCCTAACTTGTCAATATTGTCTAAATATGAATATATAATCTTACTCAAGTTATCTATATTTTTAAATTAATAATTCTTTGCATCAATGCATATGTCTATTATAAATTGTAAATTGGTGTAAGATTACATTTATTGTGTTTACGCAACAACACTTATAGCTGCTACTATAAATCTAATTAATAAGTATCATTGTTGTGTAGTTTTAATTAGTTGATTATTACACTTTTTTTGCTATAATAAACATATTATTATTCTACTCACACAACATCTGATTATTGGACTAAATGGCTAACCAATTAGAAATTAGTTTGTACAAATCATAAAATCGATTTAAAATGTCAGTAATTCGATCAGTTGCCATTTTAAATCATTTTGTTTATTTGCTTTACCTTGATTGGTTGGTTAGTTGATTATTTATTATTATTATTAGTATTATTATTATTATTGTTGTTGTTTTGTTGATGATGGTTTAAATCTCTGTAGAAACGAAGTGTTGCGCTTATTTTATCATGCACTGTTTTTATTGTTGTTTACTTTTAGTCATACACTCATCTATCTAGTTACTCTCTTCTCTGCCCTTTTTCCTTTGACTTTAATATTTGAACAATGCATAAATAGATTTATGGAATTACATGCAGTTGTAAGATAAATAAATATTGATGAAATCTATTAGTGGTTTTCTTTCTTCGATATCACATTTTTTTTTAATGGACAAGAAGAAAGAGAGACATTGAAGAATTAATCGATCACTAACTACTTACTTACTCTACATATGTAGCTATCTATCTATCTATCTATCTATACAGATTGTAATAGATTTTATTTATTTATTTTTCTGAAACAGTTGGCGTTTTTTGTATTTTCTTTAAGTTTTGCTTTCTCATCGGTTTGTTTTATTATTTCTGTTTATGTGAGGTGATAGTTTCTTTTTTCTCCCTTTTCAATATCTGTCATTTTTATGTTTAGCCAGGATTTGAAATGGGCGTAGATTTGTTATTTACTCTAAAGAAAAGGTATATGTATTATGCATATATTGGTGTCTTAGCAACACCTTAAGTTCTGATCGTAGGTATTTTACGTATAGTTTAATTATTCAGTAATTCAGAATGAGTGAATAATATTCGTGGATTGGGTAAAATCCATTCATATATATCATTGTCTAAGATCATATCGGAAATGAAGTTATCCTAGGTGTTCACTTGTCTACTCTTGCATTTTTTCTTGCTTTAACAATATTGAATAATATCGTTCTCAATTGCTTGTTTTCAAAAAAAACTAGACATAAAAGCCCTGCTGGTCTGGATGGATTGTGCATTGATACTACTATATTGTACGCTTCACAATTAGTACCTCAAACAGCTGAAAGTATTCTCGTACGCTCAGATGGCTATTGGCGACTGGTACCCCCATTATGTTTAGATCTGCCCGTTGATATTGACCAGTGGCAACCTTTAATTGGTCCGATGACAGAACTAGTATCCCAAGCTTTTAATCAGATTTCTTCAAAGGGTCCACTTCGTGGACAAACTCCTGGAAATGCTGGAGTACGGCAAGTTGCTACTCATTGTCATACAAATACCTCTCAAACAGCTCCTGATTGGATTCAACCTCCGTTACAAAGAATTTCACCCCAGCAGCATCAACAACACCAATCTCCCAAAGTTACCACAACATCGCGTAAACCCCAACCACTACAACCTTCGATTCAAACAACAAAAGTTGTCACATCTCAGCAAGACTTGACGAATTCCCCGCAACGGATTTCTGATTGTTGTTCACCTAGTAATCAAACTAATTTGGAAAATGTTTGTTCAAGTGTTAGTTGTGGGCCTAGTGGTGAACTAGTTGATTCTGCTTATTCATCAGCAGCTTCACGACCTTCATCACAACCCGGTATGTTGTGCACAAATTTTTGAATTTTATCGCGTACAGATACGGTTTGTATATATGTCTGACGAGAGTAATTATTAAAAATTTTTTGGTAGTATTAATGCTTAGTGTATAATATTCAAATTTATTACTACGAAAACGAGTCTGTTGGACTCAAACAGGTTTGTTCGATTTGAACCACGTGTTGATGTTGTTCAGAAAAACGCGGAAAGCTTAACAACTAATCTATATTGCTCAAAGATTGCAAATCCATCATCTTCATCCTGAACCACAAATATTCCCCATCACTTAAAAAATAAGTTTCTTAGGTGTAATTTTTATTTCTGTAGGAAATTCGATGTTATTGCAGACTAGCGATAGAGTTTTTAATTATTGACATCTAAAATACGCATTAAAATAAATTGTCTGTTAAAATGACGCTTTATCTTCCAGGTATAATTACTAATGAATTCCTGACAAAAATCAATATTCTTAGTAATCCGTGTACATGTTCAATTTCGAAGATATTTATATATGTTTACCTAGAGTGTCTAAGTTCACAAGTATTGTAAATTTCGCCAATATTATCTAAGTCAGACGAATTTTCGACTCATGATCCTACCTATAATTAGTTGGTGATAGGGATGCTCGCTTTTAAGAATTTATTTGGAATTTCGATGATAGTCCAAGTTTCTGTTTATCTTATGATCTTCATACAATACAACTAGCTAGTTTAATGTTTTCATGTTCCGTAAAACCTATTTTTTAACGTTATTTCAATACATTCTAATAACTTACATTTTACGCAGTACTTTTTTTATTGAAACTTTAAAATGGGTTAAAATCTGATGTTAGTGGGATGTATTGATATTCAGGAGATTTTTCCGACAAAAAATCTCTTGTTTATGTTATCTTATTAAATGAGCTTTGAACTGTTGGTTAATTGAGTCAACATTGAATTCTGACTATTGTTTCGTTACTATGGGAATTGTTTAAAGAATCAGATATTTATATTCGAAAACTTATCAACTGTAATTAGATAAACTATGAAAGATTGCAAGCTACTGAGCAATTCATATTTATGTCATATTATTACATCGATGAAGAGATACATTTATCGAACAATACAATAGTGCGGATAGCATGTTCAACTTTATGTTTCAATGCTCTTTTATAATTCATTTAAAATTTGGTCACCAATACTCTTTCATCATATAAGATATATTATTATTATTATTGTTAGTAGTATTAATATTAGTATTAGATAGCTTTTCTTACTTGTGAAATTTTGTAAATTACTTTTTCTCTCTATCGTTCGATAATTTACAGATCACCTAGTGTATATATATATATATATATATAATTTAGGTTACTTTCCAAAATCTAGTTTTCAGACACCTACATTCTTACTTTTTGTGTGAAGGGGTATACATGTATACGTATTCATGATACTCGTTCATGTTTTAACACTGATCGTTATAATAATAATAATAGTAGTAATAATAAATTTATTTCTTATATACTTTTTATCATTAATTATATTCGGTTAAAATTTTCTAATTGTTATCTAGCCTTGTGGCGATTTCATTAATTCCATCATGGTATGTTGCGAAGTTATTAGGGGAAAAATAAAACTTGTCAATTGACGTAGTAGTAATTTTGTCAAGAGCGATCATCATTCTGACTTCAATCTTGCAATCAGTGCATGGATTATGTGTTCTACTGTAAGAATGTTATTACAGAGGCATAAACCTGACAGCGTTGTTGTCGTCAATTTTAAAGAGATTGTTTAGCTTAAATTGATCTACAATGAAAGCTGGCTGATATAAGTATGCTAGGGATTTGTAATTCTCCATTATTATTTGTGTATATATTTTGTTTTCTCTTAAAATTACATCTATGATTATCTAACCAGTGATTATAATTCTTTTTTTGTTTCTTATTGTATTCCACTAATTTTCCGTAGTCTCATGGATCGGAACACAATCCTCACCGGATAAAATGAGTACCTCCACATCGTTGCCATCTTCACCATCAGTTTCTACTCGTTCTGTTAGTTGTTTTTCAATGGCTGCTATACCAGGCGTAAATATGTGTGTTGTCGATAGTATGTCGTCCACATCATCTAGTCTGTCAACTACATCTACGTATCCAACAATGATTACAAAATCATTTCTATCGACATCTGCAAGCTCGAATATGGGTAAAGGAGTACCTTTTGAACAATCTATAGAGGTTGGGAGTGATGACAACTCTTATCAAACTCCTATAACGACAACAATATCTGTCCCTTCAAAGGTTTTTTCAACGAATGAAGTGTCGGCGAAAAGTGGTGTTGTTACTAGCGAGTATTGCAGTCCATCAGCTGTTAACCTGGAATCATCCAGTAGCTTAGCATCATCAACCAGAAGATGTCCAACATCCTCACTGAATATGGGGTTAGATTTTTTGTTGACTGAAGACCAAACAGTTACGTCAATCGCTATGTGTTCTGGCGAAAGGAGTCCACAAATGTCTTCAGCAATTGTTTCTGCTGCTGTTCGTTCTCTTCTTACGTCAACGTGTGATACAGTCGGTAGTAGTATATCACCAGCTGTTTCTGCTTCAGCTACAAATTCGGATGATTTTCCCGTTACTAAAACAGTATGCTCTAACAGTTCATGCAGTGAACAGTCTACCTCTCCTAAAAGTGAGAATATTTCTTTTAATCGTGAACAACCAAGTGATTATGGAGATAGATTGATCCCTAATTCCTTCTTGAGTGGAGAAGAAACGTGTAAACTTAGTAGCGAACTATCAAATTGTACACCTAAAGTTGAAGGTGACGTGAAAATGAGCTTAAATGAACTTAATAATGAAGACACATCACAAGTACTTAGTGAAGTGTCTATGCCAACTAAACGAATGAAATTAGAATCACCACAAATTAGCCCACAAATATATCTTCATGCTTGTATTGCTGAAGACACTGCAAATCTTCCGGCTAAACAAGATGATGATACTGTTTCAAATCAACAATCTACCATGAATTCAGTGACAACAACTACACTGAATGATGGGTTATACGAAGTGAAAAAAGTTATCTCAGGACATTCGAATGACATTGATGATGGTAATATTCCTGAATATGTTGGTCTAGTTAGTAATGATTTTGATGAGGAAAAGATTTCTATAGAATTGATACACTCTGTATCTTCTAAAATCGATCAGCTAGACTTGTTTCTGGATGAATCGTACATACGATTTGTGGAACATTTTCCTTGTGTTTAAATAACAACAAAACTTACACTACACAAGTCATCACTATTTCGTATTGGGTCGGTTGTTGTCCAGTTATCTTACGTAATCATTCCTATGTTAATATGTATATAAAGATATATATTTGCTTACTTTATTGTACAATACGAATTAGGTTATTTCTAATTTATTCAATGGTATGTAATGCTCAACACAAAGATTCTTTATATTAAATTTCCTTCTAATCTTTTACTCCTTTTCAATTTACTTAGATAAAGAATTCGTTTTCGTATTTGTTTTTAGGATTAATGAAAGTCACAATTCATTTTTTGTGTTTTAAATGAGTAAAATGCATTTTTAACTTTTGTCATATTTATACAATTCACTGTTTCAAATTAGTCATCTTATGTCTCTTCTTTTTATCACAAAATGGTACAGTTTAAAATTTCTTAATAAAATGTAGAATGTACTTTTAATATGTCCAGTTTTTTCTGTAGTTGTTTATTGGCTAGTCAGGGGTTTAGTTCGACTGTCTACAAATTGTAACCAGTGCAATTTAACCCAAGATCTTCCGCTTCATTAGTATATGTGTGTCTATTAATTAAGATAATGAAAAAATCTGCTTAAATATTTGTTGCATTATTGTCATATATATGCTTAACTGGAAAAGATGTGACTTAGATATAGAATTTCATACTGAATATGCAAAGAATATCTTAGAATCCTAGTTGTTATATGTCCTGTTCCTACAAAGTTTGGTAGCTACTTCCTTTTTTAATAAATGTAGATATGTGTAGGCGTGCGAAACAGTATCTCTGCAGTTACAGTCTTAATGGGAGGCTAGCTAGGGCTGAACCCCTATTCTTTTTGTAACTGATTAGTAAAATGTCTAAACTTCTTGATAAATTCCGCGGCACAAGTTTTTGCATGTATCGTAAGTCGAAATATCGCAGTAATAAGCCACACACAAGATCATATATCCAAAAGACATGCGTTAAGTTTAGCCTTACAAGATGACGCGATCATGAAAGGACACCAGTTTATGATTGTCAGTGTACCTAGTGAATTATCGAATTAGATATGCACACTGAGTGGTCGAATATTATTATTATCAGTTTCTCGCTAGAAGAACAAATATGGTAGTATGGTAAACTGGCTATATTGTCCAGTGCATTTATTCGTTCAGGTGACTATCTTTATGAGGCAGAATCTGCGGATACGTACCAAGTATTTACAAGAATAATACTGAAGTGATGTGTACATGGAAGGCGGTTTCAGAGTGAAATCTTGCACCTAGTCGCAGTTATCGATGATGCCATCGGGCTACCAACTGATTTTAAAGATGGAGAGCCCAAAAATAGAATAGAGGCCAGACCTCGCTGAAAGCTAATGAGAATAGTATCGGATGCCAAGAGCTAATTGTTTGGATCAATAGAGGGGTTCTGTGGTGGCTGTATTTAACAATGATTCCTCTGTATGTAATTCCACCATTGGTTTGAATCAGAAAAGAATACTTTCTTTTGTGCTCAGTACTGGTTTATACGTGACTACTAGAGTACAAATAGGTAAATTTCTGGGTATTACTAACTCGTATACGAAATATATATATTCCTGATTATTGTAGGTCACTGGAAAGTAATGTTTTTGCAACTCATGAAGTTCAAGTAATAACATTTGAATGGTGAACCCGTAATAGTTTCTAGCATTCATTAAGCACCAAACGTCTGTTGCTTTCCACAAACTGCTTATCGAACTATCCTTTCAGGGTCCTATCCTGCTTGCTGAGATTTAGAAATAGTGTCAAAATCTCCATCAACCAGTATTTGGTCAACCTAGTTGCCGTGCTTAAAATCTAGTCTTTCTGAGCGATGGTTCATGTGGAGATCCATCCAATCATGGATTTTGTGCCATTTGTGTTGAAGTAGCACTAGTATGAATCTGTCAGATACAGTTTGGTGTGATTTTCACATATATCCTTAATCCTACACTTGTTTTGTGTACCATATTGCATCGGAAATGTGCCATGCCGTTCAATCTCATTTCCTTATCTCTGATGTCAATGGATAGTCATGTTTCCGTAAAGGTTTCGAACTTCAGGTCGAACTGACAGTACACCTCTTAATCCTCCTGCATCTTTAAAGATTTATTTGATGGTCATTCACTCCACCTGCTGCCCCTATGTCTTTGTGCTTCTCAACAAAATTTCGAAAGTGAGTTGGCCACTTTTTTCACGACTTTTACTTCACAGAGTTCAGTTAGCTGTACTGTGGTCTCTGTAACGTGCATCATAGGCTATTCATCGGTGTCAATCAGTAATAATGTGTAATTCATTAGGTTTTTCTCTTGTTGACATAGATATCTAGGTTGGACCTCCAGAGTAATTGGAGAGGTCGAGTTTTTCGATTTCATAGCCACATATTACCGGTGACACAGTTTGGCTAGTGTTATTCATCCCAGATTTTAAACAGTATTTGTCCTATTGTTCTCTATCAAAGACTGCCGAAATGTCATACCCCGACATTAGAACATTAGATAAAATCAAAGAAATCGTCTGCCGTTGTTCTAGTTCGTCAGCCTGTAAAAAAAAGACGGTTGGGTATGGATGTATATTTGAGACGAACAGGAGAACTATAAAACATGTGAGCATACTCAGTTGCGGTTCGAAGCGGTAATTCAATATCCAGCTGTTATCTGCTGTCATTCTTCTGAGGCGAAATATTGATCTCCGAGATAATTTCTACTATAGGTCTTCGACACTGATTTTGGAGCCTCATTTGTCTGGCTGAACATATCTGTCTAAGGCGCTCGGTCACAACAGATCAACGCGAGGTACACCTTGCAACGTATCTCATCTAGTCATTTGGAAGTCTTAGCTCACTCACTTGTCAATATCGCAACCATCCTTTAAATATACACTCGACCATCTTCATTAACGACCACCATTACCTTGTGTAATCAGCGATGTTATTGTTAACAACTACGCGACTACTTATGTTCGTAAAAGCCTGATGGATAGCTCCCGAAAAGCTAAGAGTTGCCGAAATCGAATTCGAACATTTGATTGGTGTAGGGACTACCTGAACACCAAAAAACATATGGGCATTTATGTCCCAAAAAAGGACAGTAGTGATCTGCACCCGACCGGCGATTATCGATTACTTGTGAAAGACACAACCTCCCTTTCAAAAATCGATCTTGTTAGAGCGTATAAATAAATCTCCGTCTCTATACCGGACATTCCTACGGCCGCTATTATTGCCCATTTCGGCGTCGACAACGATGATAGCAAAAATAACGGTAAGAGGTTTCTTTTATCCATGAAAACTAATCACTTTGTTCATAGATGACAATTAATCCAGGAATAATTACAAGAATGATTACTGATCATCCGATATACTCTCATTACGTACTTTTCCTTCTACAAAACAACTCAGAAAATCGATTGGCCATTCAGATGCCTAAAACATCTCACTTCTTACGGTTTAATGATTCATCCTAAAACTGAGGGACTTACGAATACTATTCTCATATTACCTGGAATTTATTCAACACTGCTTCGAATTCCGCTGGACTCATGAACAGCTTACTCAGTACGATGAGTAATAAATCATCAGCGTGCTCAACCAATGTATTTTATGAAAATGAAGCACGACAACTGTTACTGTACGAGTGTGAAACAAAAAAATAAGTGGTTATTTTTAAGCTTTTTTCACTACTTTGCAGAAGCTGCCATACGAAAAGAAAGTGGACGCCAGTTCCAAACCTAAAGATCATCTGAGACCTATTCTGCTCCGAATAAGACCAATTACAAAGATTATCAACTTTGGAATTGTATGTAGTCACTCCCATTTATATTATTTTCCTTCCCAGCTGTAATAGATTCCAAACGAAGTTAGTGAATCTATTGTTCATAGAGAATGGTACTGAGAAGCAAAAAACGGAGAATGAAACTAGAATAAATTTAGATGATGATGTTAACAACAACGCTGGCAGCTTTTCTGCACCAATAGACTATGTTTATGGCCGAAAACTTGTTGAATGTGCATACCTACATTTGCAACTTACCTTAAGCAGATCAAACTCAGAGGAATTATTTCAATGCAGCCCAATGAAATACTGGTAATCGTACCGAAAGAACAAGAACTGAGCCTAAAGAAATCAGTTGGTTTATACGAGTTGGTTCAATAGATTTTGGATTCAAGGTCGCTTAATTGAAAACGCGGTGCAGTTTGAAGTTGGGTTGCTTTGCTGTCGTCTGGTTGGAGTTTGGCCTTGATGTGAAAACCAGTCCTTCAGATAGCAGTTTACTAAGGTAATTTTGTTACCAAGTCCAAAAACACTGCATATTATTGCGAATAAATAACCAAGAAATACGTGTTTATTTGTAAGAGTAGCCAGATCCTTACATCAATCACAGCTTCCACTTCTTACTAAACTAACAGTAATAGGATATATTCGCAGGATAGGTCTTGATACTTTCAAGAGTGATAAGGATCTACCTCTTGCGAGACACTCATTGTCACATATACATAACCACTGTCACAAGTGTTCTACACTACCCATCCAGCTGTCTCGGACTCCACTCTCAAATTCAGTAGTTTGTTTGGCTCATAAATGTTTAGCTTTCCATTATTACCAGTCTGTATTTGGTTTGACAAATAAACAAGACGGAAATTTCACCATTGCAATCTCTGGATTGTTTGCTTCCCACCCCAAATTGTTTACGTAATACAACAGTTCTGTCCTGCCTCTCATATATTCTGCCTTTAGCCTAAGTAATCCAGAAATCCCCACAGCATATGAAATTAGCATTTGTCGTCGATAACAGTTAACCTAATTAACATCAAAACTCCAAACACATAGACACGTCAATCTGCTGACTGATAAGTTCTATTGTGTTTGGCATTTGGAAAATAAGTAAGTGTCAGTTAATGAATGTTCTCAACACAGCAGACGACAGTAAAAAAGTAGGCGTACACTGTGAAAACGGTTTATTAAAAAACGCAAGAGATATCATAAGTCCAGCGTTGCAGTAGACACTAACTCACTATGCACAACCCTTCTCACCATTAAGTGTATTCTAACTTGTAATAAATAACAGTTCTGGCAGGGTATAATCCAAAGTGCTTTAAAACCATATACTGTAAGATGAGGTGAGGCTCATTAATGTCCGAAACATACCGTTGTGCCTTGGAAACCAAAAGAAATAGGTTACCAGTTAACATTGTCACTGACATTATCATTTGTTCCTTAATAATGCTTGTTTAGTTGGTCTCATATCTTGTATAAAACCTTTTGTTGTGCCGTACAGAAGTTTGCCAATCTCTTTTTTCGTTAACAGTGAGGATATAACCTGAATGTTAGGGAATCTACAGAATAATTTGAACAGTTCACCGTTACTTATGCTTCTGTTAGATGAAAGTTTTCTAAGGCCCCTTCAATGGGTGATTCTATGCTGTAGATGTGCACCTGAATGTATTTGAAGCATCTTCGGGTTTCGTTTCACTAACTTGTTTATCTGGGCTATCTGAAATGTAAATAAATTATCCAATAAGTAGGTGAACTTACGAATCTGTCGCTGATACCTCCTCGTAGAAGACAAGTTCCCAGAGAGTCCAGCTCTTCCTTATTTGATAGAGAGAAAAAACGAAACTTCAACAAATTGGAAGTACTTTTCACTATTGCTTAAAACGCGAGGTTGTTTAATAGCCTCGTAAGTTGTGTAAAATCTATAAACAAATAGGAGAGTGCTACTACAATTTTTTGCAAGAACTTTTATTAAGCTATGAAACTTGAGGAAACTGCTCACATAACTTAATCCGTCAGTTGACTGCATGTTGTCATTGATACAGAAGTCGACGAATGTACATATATCCTTGTTGAACTTGTTTATAAACCTTTACAGTGATAGAAGGCCTAGGTTCTCCGCCAAATGAAACTTGATGGTACTACATCCCACATAGCTCAGCCCGATAGCTAGGATCTTTGTAAACTAACTTACCCCCAGTCTACTCTTATACTGTACATCATTGCGTATCGATGTGGGTGATGGTCGGATAAATGTACTTAATCTAACTACCCCTGTTTTTCATCCTTAACTGGTACGTTCTGTCTAACTTCTGTGTTACTCACTTCGCTGGGAGGCCTCGATTTTGATAACAAACGTAGATCCTCGCCTATGGAGATTGTGTTAGAATAAAAAAGCTTGATGATTAGATCTTAATGAATTAGAAGCAGCGGCTACATCTGGTAACTGGTAGAAGCTAATTCAATAAGTGAGAGCAGTTGTGGGCAAGAAATGTAAGTGAAATTCCTGTGAAACTAATGGCATCCCAGCCATAACGTTTGCCAACGATGGACAAGGTTCTTTGAGTAACAATGTAATCAACTTGTTGCTCCAGCAACATTGATTGAACTGTCTTATCCAATCTGGCCGGTTGTGTCTGACCCACTCAACAAGGTGGAGGTCTACCAGAAACCCCAATTTTCGAAGCACTGCAAATCACTGAACCCAGACAGTTTAACTTCGCCTCTTTTAAGGGAGGCAATGAACTTCTGATCAGAGAAATAGGTTCATATGCTTCACGGCTTCTTCCTGGCCATATGGTTAACCTTACTAGCAGATATCACTGCTGTTTCCACAGCTTTTCGGATATCATTCCAACGTGCATCCGGATGAGGATCACTTACATGGTCACTTACTATTTTTCTAATTCTTTCTTAGAAAAAATTAGAAAAATAGTAAGTGACCATGTAAGTGATCCCCATCACTTACATCGTGATGACCCAACCGAGCTATACTGGCTGGAACATATGTTCCTCAAGGTTCTACCATGCCAGACAGGTCGATTGGAGAACGATGAGACTAAAAGCAGCTACCCAAGGTCTGAGGGCGAAGTCGTACTGCTGACTGCAGAGGGGTGTGACAGCAGTAAGGTGTTTCCCTCGGACAACCAGCATCTGCAGCGATGCTGCTGCCTTCTCACAAGGAAGGAAGGGTTAGAAAAGGTCGGCCCTAAAAATGTCACACCTCCCCTAACTCAACTCACGGATTTCCGTCTCCTTGGGTAAGGGTGCCCATTAAGGGCCTTTAAGAACGGAGCTAATACTCAAAAACATTTCATAAAAAGGCCGTGCGTGACCGGCCTCAAGCAGTTGTCCCTTGGACTCTGCGGTCACGCACCCAGGTCTCTAAGAACCAACACTAATCTATCTTCCTTTTCACCAACTCTTCTCACATTCATTTATCACACAGCACCGCTAATGCAATCAATGCGAGTTCACGAAACGTCGTTCCTGGTCTCTTGAAACCCCGTTCTAAACTACTTGTTGGAGCATTTAATGTACAGACATTGCGTCAATTAGGTCAACAGGCATCATTAGCTAGGACTTTGAATCTCGTTCCATCGATGTGTGCTGCGTCTCTGAAACGCGCATACAGGATTCGAGTAGCATCATTCACCTGACCTCACCATGTCAGATAAAGAAGCAACTTGATTTACCCTTCGTATATCCGGTATCCCTGATGCTGCTTCCAGGGGTCTCGCTGGTGTAGGTATAGCATTAAGTCGTACGACAGAACTATCTCTCCTAGACTGGATCCCAATAGATAGTCTCTTGTGCGCCATCCGACTGAACGGGACAGTAAGGATTCGGAAAGATAGGGACACTCGTCGTTGCCTCTTCGTCATATCAGCCTACGCTCCTACTGACTGCAGTTCAGACGATGTAAAAGATGAGTTCTACAGAAAGCTTTCGGACCTCCTCCAAAAAGTTAAGCCTTCTGATATACTTATAATGGCTGGTGGCTTCAATGCTCAAGTAGGTAGACTAAGTGACCAGGAAAGACACCTTAGTGGATGTTATGGTGTCGCGGCTCAGAAAACAATCGCGACCATCTGCTGCAGCTATGCTCAGATAATCGCCTATTTCTAGCAAACACTAATTTTAAGCATAAGGAAAATCATCTTTTGACCTGACGACCCCCAAAGTCGTCTCAACATTGGATCCAACTAGATCACACTGTCATCAGCCACCGACGGAGAGGTTCGATAGAGGACTGTATCTCGTTCTGCGACACATGTTTAGATTCACATCATGCCCTAGTGCGAGCGCGTATTTGTTTGCAAATTACTGGACGAACAACACTCGAAGTGATCAATGACAGTTTGCCATGAGCTTTACTCGTCTAGTAGTAGTGTTCGAGTAGAGAGCCTGTATAATGTTAATGTACTCAAATTCGATATGATTGATATCATAACATAATTTTAAAGATATTCTAATCTTTCCTTTATTATTTTTCAATATTATGATGTGTTTATACCGAGAAATAAACAGATCACTTTCTTAACTTTTGTGGGAGAAAAAGCATCAAGACAGACTTCCTTATAAACAAACTGACTAAATAAGTGTCTCTAGTAAGTGACCGAATCTCATAGCGTATGAACAATGAAAACCTTTGTCTCTTGTTGGAACTACATAAGCTAGTGGCATTAACATAAAACTCACTTAAGAAATTAACAAAACTAAGTCAGTTTATTACGAGGATGGGATCAAACTTACCCACAAATTGGACAATTCAGCCTAGGCCAAAGAACTTCTCTACGTAGAAAAGCTTCCATATCAAATGCTTCTACGTGTTGACAACCGGCAATACGACCAGGTATACGCATTCTTGTACGGAACACTGGACATATTAAATTTAATTCAGCAATAACAGGTGTTTGAGGAGGTCCAGATATATTCCGAGTTATACTTCCATCTTCATTCAAGTTCCGTGTACCGATACGACCTTCAATAATGTCACAAAGAGTATTTATGCCAGCAGGTCGTCGTCGTTGAAGTCCATCAAGTAGGACGTTAAGAGCTGGCATATGTGCCATAAAGGCTGCGAACCGATGAGCCTAAGAGTAAAAAGGGTTTCTTGGTTTAAATCAAAGGAAATTCCAGTTTATGATATACGTGATATATGTGATAAGTATATATATATATATATATATAGTAAGCTTTTTCTGCAGAGGTTTAAATATAAATTACTCAACCACAACTGCTACATAGATAAGATAGTTAGAAGTAATAATACTAGACTATTAATCTCATGGGTCCCTAGCGTTGAAACCTTGTATTACAAGCCTTGTCGTAATGCTCTCGAGTCAACGGGAAACATTAATGACCATTTCGTAGGTAGCTGGAAAATCTCAGAAGACTGTACACCAAGAACAAGAGTGAAGCTGAGTTCAAGATTATCCGCGTATTCAATCTTTCTTCAGCTTCGCTCTGTTTCGCATGTCCAATCAGTGCTAACGACTTGCGAGTACGAAATGTAAACAATTCCAAAACTAAACTCTGAATCGTAAAATCGTTCAGAAACAGGTAGGTTACCAATCTGAGACTGTTGAAGAGATTAAGCTTATAATTAATAGATAGCTTACATGCTATAAACTGAAATAACCTGAAAAAGAGAAAGGTATTTTCTTACAGTCATAAGCATCAAACATTCCAATTATTAACCAAAATTTTACAATATAATATTTAACTTTTTAACACAGTTCTACACTGATAGATAATAATAATCTACTATATATATACTACGTTTTTCTAAACAAATTATAACAATTCCGTACATCGAAATCAAATACATGAAAACATAATAAAAGAAACAGCTTACCTCGAGTGTTTGAGCGGTGGCTCGACGTTTAGCCATGGTAGATGGTTGATTAGGATCTTCACCAAGACCCAGTATAGCTATCTCCAGTTGATTACGACCTGGTCGACAAAGTTGTTTAACGCAGGCTACTTTATGCGCAGGTTGACCACCGTTCACAGAACTACGATCAAGACGTAAAAGCTAGTCATTAAAACGAATTTGTACAGCATCAGGTGGCCAATGGCACACTTGTAATGGTTCTGATAAAAGGTGACTACAGACTACAATATCTAAATCACTACGTCCAACGATTGTACTTAGATGATTTGCAGTCAAATCAAATTCGAAACGACGTATATATATCCCTTCAGGAAGATACTGATGCATGATATCATTTAATTGTATTTGAGTCGGACCCCATACCATACCGTTAGTGATTGGACATACTAAGCGATCAGTATCTAATAAAAGAAAATACGGTTCTGTAAATCATATATTCAACTTTCAATTCGTAAATATATTCCATTGATTAATTCAGGAAAACAAATCCTAATACAATAAGATACCTAAAAATACACCAGAAATATGAAGCTGTAAAGGGTAGTATAACCATTAAGTAAGTAGAGAGTTTATCAGACATTGATGGAAAACGTAATGGAAAACTATAATAGGATCATCAATGACTTCCTTTACATGCCCTGTCGGAAAACCATTCAAGGTAGAAGTTTGGGTATCTGAGACCCTAATAAAAGAGTAGTGAAGGACCAGTGAAAACTAACCCTAAGTAACTATTCTTCATTCCACAACCTAAAGTTACTGACTATCTCACCTTTTCTATCCAATAAAAGCATCCAATGTGAAAGACACACGGGAGAACTGTATCAAACATGTCCATACTATCAAAAGCAATGTTTCACTTCAAGCAAACTCACTAAAAAAACCTCGGGATTGCAGTGGCGATCGGACTAAGTCAGTTTGCGAATATCTTTAATTTAGAGGAGTGAGATTTTTTATAAGCATGAAGCAGAACTGCTTTCATTGACGTTTTATATACTTGACCTTTTTTAGTTACACTGACATCATGAGGGTGACGAAAATGGGTCAGATTAGCAAACGTTACAAAAAGTATATACATGTGGTTGGAATTAGTTACCAGGATATATCGAACTTGGATTTCCTGCACACAAGCATGGAAATCTTCAAGGAACTGATGTTCTGAACTTCTATTACTCATGTGCTCAGTCTTGGACGTCAACACAAATGCTAAAGGAATAAGATAATTACAGGTGACTTATCAACAGATAGTGACTAATGTCATGCTTTTTATCCTTAATGCTGAATAAATTCTACCGATCAAGTTAGCAGTCTAAGTGACTCGAAATTGTAATGAATGAACACCTATATATTAAATATATACCAACGGTGATCTGATGAGCAAGTTACTAATACTCACACCATAATATTACCAAACACGCACCAAATCGTACATGTGTGAAACAACCTGATTAATTGTTTTCTTATTGACAGCGAAAATATCAATAAGTGAGACATATTTATAGCCCTACAAATTATGAAGATTAGTGCGCAGAATAATTAAAAACCAATGGGGCTGGACATTCAAAATTAGTATATGAAACGTATATTAATTCGACAACCTAACTTGTTTACGATAACAGTAAATCTAACACGTAATTGTACTATTGTTAGAGATGATTGTCAAAATGGAAAAAATCGGAGAGCTAACATCGTTTAAGATCATTCACAAAAGCACATACATCTAATCCCTTTTCCTCCTTCGAAACATTTATTTTTCCAGAGTCATTTCTTCTTTGAACTAATTAAAAAGTTGTTTTTTTCGTTTAGTTATGAATACAATATGCAACCAAGTTATTCGTCATATTTATATGGCTACTATATTATGCAATGTTACTGACCACGAATTTCATTCACAAAACCAAAGAATGGTTTTGCATACAGATAACACAAAATAAATAAGTTGTATGTACTTTAGTAATTTCGCCAAAAGACAAACAATGGTAACAATAAATCCTTCATAAAAAGTATAAAGACAAGATAACATTGATTTCCAGTTATTAGGAAAGCTCGATTATAGGAGGTGATCAAAACAGTTTACAGCTATCGTTTAAATAAATAGTTCTTTTTCTCTAAATCGATACATAAAATAAAAATACACAATTACTAACTAGTCAAATGATAACTATTTACTATAATTAATTTTGAGTAAGGAAATCACTATTCGCCAAAGTGAATCAATCAATTGTAACAATCCTCATATCTAACTATAAAAACTTACACGTATACGACGCAGAACCAACTGCAGTAGTCGTAGTAGTGGTAGCAATACTACTATTACTACTGGGAGGTGGCGGTAGAGAAGCAGGTGGAAGATAATTTTGAGAATTAGAGTTCGATTGTGCAGAAATTCGATTACAATTTGAAGTCATTGGAGATGAAATAGTTTGTATATGTGAATTAGGTTGCATTGTATGTGACTGATAATGCACATTTGGTGGAGTATGCTGAGCATTATTATTACTATTATTCAGTGACGCACTATTATTCGGATAACACATTTGACTGTTGATCGTTGTAAGTGTTTGTTGTGGTGTATTCATATTGATATTAGAAACATGCTGATTAGTTTGATTGTAAAATGAATTATTGCCATGACCCGAAGGATACGACGTACAGTTACTTGATGTATTAGGAACTGAATACTGTTGCTGTTGCATAGGCGTTTGACTGGAACAATAGGACTGCCGAGGAGAAACTGGTAAACGCATATTGTGATTGGATTGAGCATCTAAACTGTTTGATGATTCATTATACGCCATTCCAGTTGTAGATATGCTTAAATTATTATTAACTGGAGGACCTGAATTAGGCCTCATACTACCATTATTTAACTGTGTGGCAAAAGCAACCGGAGATTCTCGACTATCCATACTACCAATAAATCCAGAATTTGCCATGGGAATCCCCATCGACTGAGTAGGTAATATCATAGTGGAATTGAAATTTACATTTGCAGAGGACCCGGTATTCCACGACTGGAGTTTCTTTGATGGTTGGTTAATCGGTCTTTGACTAGGAGAAAACGGTTCAGAGGAAGATACAGAGGGTATTGTGCTGGATGCTAAATTCTTCTTGGAATTAACGCGACTTCCTCGACCTACTCCGGATGAAGTCTATAAAATGCATGAGATAGCAAACAAATTAAAATAATGAAGAAATGAACTGCTTTCATAAATACTCGAAGTGGTACCCATCATTAGTTAGTTGGTAGATCGATAAGTAGGATATATATATATATATAGCACACTGATACACTGATGTACATAAAACATATCATACAAATACTCATATATGAAATCACACTTAAGTTAATACACCATGGAGTTGTTATTAAGTAATTCACAATATAATACTGATGATCATCTTTCATCATTATTACTTATTAACATTTCTATCAACAAGCTGTTATGTGAAGTGCAATAATAACCTATTCCATTTTGGAAGATATAACCAAAAAAAATGGTCATCTGGTTTTGTCCACTTCGATTAATGACATATTTTGCTCACTTACTGTAGAGATCTCTTAAACAAAGAACCGAAATCAATGATTTTAAAATCTCTCGGATTTCACTCCTAAAATGAATCCACAATCAGTCCTATGAAATGTTACCGATAGGTTTTTTCGGACAACAGGTTTTATAAAGTGTTTATTTCTGCTTAAAACATTAATTGGAGTTTGTGAAAGTATTACCGATAATTACAATATGAATCTGTTATTACAGTATCCACATTGTTGTTGACCGAAACGATCACGCTACCATTAGTGAAATTTTTTATAAAGGAATGATATTAGAATTGTTTCTGAGAGAAAAATCTTTTCATTAATCTAAATGGTCGAAAAGATATGTCGATCAAAAAAATTCTCTTTTTATAAGTGCCAGGAAAAAATTTACTACTGAAATTTGATGTAACACAATTCACAATAATGTGAGAAATAAAAATTAAAGAGAAATAGTTTATACAAGAAAATGTAAATCGTTTAAATAAAACATCTTAGTGCAACGTGAATGAATATGAACCGAGAAAAAATATTACAATCAATGAAAGTTATATTCTACAGGAAAATATGCATAGAGAAATCAAGAAATTCATTATAACAAGTAATTAAAGTTAACTTTCATAGATTATTATTAGAATTCAAAATATTTTTGTAGAGAATAAATGTATATGATTTATTAAAATAATTAACTGAAATACTAAATGATATAAAATCTTTAAATACATAAAACTAACATGGCTGTTTAACTAATAACAATAATTAATAGTGTAACTAATTTACCAAGTCACATACAGTTGATGTGATGCCAAATGATACTAATCGGTTGTTCAAACTGACGTTTGAACCTGACACCAACGGATTGAACATGGGAGTTCTCTAGTCATAAAGTCATCATTCAAATGATACACACAAGAGAATTCGGCAACCTGTGAGGTAGAATATAATAAACATTGCTAAAGAAACAAAAGCCAGGTACTTAAGTATTAGGACAATCTATAATATTGTACTAATCAAATGTGATTACTTGTTTCTATCCACATACGCACACACACAAAAGCAATAGTGGATCAGATATTTTGAATTGAAAATCTGAAATGTGACAAAGTTTCTTATCTAATTCGAAACTTCATGTTAACTTCCACGCAATTAATTCTTACTAAAGACCAAGTTCAAAGATGTCAAAGTGTTAATTTACAGGTAAAAAAATTGCAACTAGTAGAATGATGACAAAATATTGTCGTTTGTTCAAGATTTTTGGCATCTGGATAAACTGGATTGCGAAAAAGACAATATCTGGAAATATGATAATTCAAACTGATTCATAAACATTAATAATTAACAGAAATTATGTCAACCAAACTATCATTTTTGCATAAAGTCACCAACAAGTTAATTCTGTAGTCTTCTAACGTAAGATCAGTCACATTAAATATGATGTCCATTGTGTCAGTGAAACATGAAGAGGACAAGAAATTATATCGAAGAATGGGGAAAGTTTATGATAACCAAAACTTCAGTGAACCTGAGTTAAATAACTGATGAATTGGAGGATTGATAAAAACCGAAATACGTACGTAAATCGAAGTTGTTTATTAGTAGCTACAGAATGCACACATAACTGGATTTGGAAAAACAATATAATGATATTGATTGATTTGACTGATTTCAACTCATATCATTCTTGATTACTATTCATCTGTTCTCAGTTACTTCATTACATAACTATCTAAAGTATGGTAACTCTATGGTTTCTGGTCAACAGTTCGATATCCTGGAACATTCCCTATCATAACTTTATGCCGGTAACATATTTTTTGAACTTATTCACCTCATTGGAATCTTCGTTACATTATGATACACGTACTCATTTATACTCACTTTCGTATTTGTAACGATATCAATTCGAATGATAATTTTGATTTTAAAATATTTTGGGTTATAACCAGTTGACTAGAATCCAGCGAAACAAAGTGAATTCATAGTATCCTGCATCAATCTTTGTGTTTGCTCGCTTCAAGATAATAAAGAGAACTATGCGTATGAAACAAGACAAAGTTTTATGAATGAATTGAAATTCAAGCAAATAGATTTTCTTAAAACAAATTATGCCCTTTTTAAATATTGCTTTTATAAATAGGGGATTTTAAATATAATTAAACGCCATAAATTGATGCAATGAGGTACTAAAGTAAATAATCTAACCAAGGTTAATATGCAATAATTTAGATACAGATACTAAACGATTTTGAAAAGAATATTTAAAATAAGTTACGTAATATTTAACGTTATGTTGGTAATTAATTAAATCATTTATTAGGTAGAAATTCGTGTACATTTATGAGGATATTAGAGAAAATACCCAGCCACACAAAGTGAGAAAGGTGGAGGGCGGTCCAGGTTCAAAAGTCTAACACCTTGAACACTCAACTACAGCTCAAACTTGGACTTGGCTCCCATCAAACAGACTTAGCCCATAGGATGATGTTTATACAATTCAGTAAGACTATGTAGGTGTATTTTTGTAACTGGATCTGAACTAGATGCTTTATAGTGTCAAGGTAAACGATAACAGTCTCAGTTATCTTAACAGAAGTGAGTGATCACAAGAACAGATTATTGAAATTTACCAAATCTGTTCATTGACATTGATGAACTGTCACACTAACAAATACTCAAATATGGTTATTTCAGCATGTGTACAAAACAAATAAACCATGAGGGCATGGTACAGAAATAGACACATACTACCAGTGATCGACATAAGGACAGATGATGAAAAAAAGTCGGTCTGATACATAAGAAAAAAGGGAAGACAGGAGAAAAACCTCAGCTCGGACTACTTCGAAACATTAATGAAGGTGTATGTGTGTGTGTATGTGTGTGGATGATGTATACAAACAACAAGTAAAACAAAATAAACTTAGAGAAATTATGTCCTCCAAAATAGCATAAAATAATTATCATAAGCATAGTTTGACTAATGAAAGTCACCTCAATGATCATATTGAAAGTTAGAACATACATAAACAGTCCAAAAATTTCAGTCCGAAAATCAGCATATGCGACTGCAAAAAACACGGGAACAAGAAAATGTATAAAATACGTACACAATTACAAAGTAGTAAATCCTGATAAGCCTAATATATAAATAATAAAGAACTCAATGTTGGTAGAGAAAATTAAAGGTAGAAATATGTACAAAAGACAAATACTATACGCTAACACACAAACACACAAGTTCACGCGTACTATCCATTCATTTTCTCTACTAAATTACTGAATGATCAAGTGGAAACAATTAGTTAAGATGAAATATAATAAAATTTTCAATAATAGAATTTTTAAATGTTATTTATTGTGATAGATCACTTCACTTTATAAGATTATTTTATGCATGCACATAAATACATTTTTGGTTCTACAAAACTCCATCATTCGAAATATGATACATTTATCACAGATTTATATCAAGCTAAAACAAAAACTCAAACAAAAGGAAGTACGAGATAGTTCATTTTGACTTTATCTGGAGACATCAATGAGCAACATTTGGAGTGGAACATTCAGATATACAAATGAACAAAATCTGTAATGAAACATGTTAGTTATTATTGCAAGCCTACATCAAACTAGTCAGCGGTCGCTACAGCTATCCAGTGAAGTTGGTCGAAGGTACAGATATATCTGTCAACAGCGCAATTCAAGAATATTCAGGAAAAATGGAACATGAAGCAATCATTTTCAAAAATATACTGCGTTAACAGCAATCTGCCTTAGTCAGAGGGCTTGTACGAAGAACTTCGCACGCAAAGATGCATTTGTCATTCCAAGTATCGAAGAAGAAAAAGTAGTAGAAGTATTAGCAGTAATGGAAAAGATTAGATATGATTAGAGAAGTATAATCCAGTGAAATAGATTTAAAAAGAGAAAGATAAAGGTGACAAGGAATTCAGATGATTGGAATTTGAGAGAAGACAAAGAATGGATACACCTGCGTCATTGCAAACGATTTCGAGCCATGTCATCCAAGGTCTCCTCTAACCATCTATTAACATTGTCCAGTAGTCTACACTTAGTAACATGGCTCAGTCCTGTTGTCAGTGACTTCATGGATTTATGCCATGTTTTGGTTTGGCCGCACCTACATCACAAAATATAGCTCGTCGAAGCAGTCGTTGGTTAGGTATTCGTAACAAACGTCCTAACCACCTCAACTGATGAAGATTCACTACTTTGTCAGTCGATCTGTCATCCTTACATAGTACCCAATACCCGTTTTCTAACACTAGGATTGCTTACTCGGTTGTCCCAGGATAAACGAGCAATGTTTCGAAGACAGCGATGGTTGAATACTAGTAACCAACAGATATCTACCTCAATTAACTAGTTCCTTTTTCGTTCATGTTAATCTCTATATTTCGTGATTCCTGATTTGCGATTACATTATTTCTCTTAGTCCATGTTGACCATATTCGTTCTGATTATCAATCTCACAATTTCATTTTACGTTAAGACTCCATCATAACATTAACGATTTATGATACAAACAATCGTAAATCCGCACGTTATTTCAAACGGGGTATTTCGCCCTAAACCTATCAAATTTTTGGTTTA